GCAAGAATGCCTCATCCAAAATTGTGAATTTTATGGCCCCAGGGTCAGGGGTTCTGGTGTTAGGGCGGGGCTTTATTGACTATATAGTGAAAATGCATTAATTCTTTAAAAATTTTCTTCTCTGCTCCTGGGTATTAAATAAACTAACTATTACTAAGTACATAGTTATGATGAGCAAGAATGCCTCATCCAAAATTGTGAATTTTATGGCCCCTGGGGGTCAGGAGTTCTGGTGTTAGGGGCTCTATTGATTATATAGTAAGCATGCATTAATTCTTTGAAAATCTTCTTCTCTGCTCCTTGGTATTAAATAAACTAACTTAGTATAAAGTTATAATGCCTCAAACAAATTGGTGAATTCCATGGCCCCTTTGTCAGGGGTATTGCCATTTGGTGTAAAGGTGGGGGGCTCTTTTGATTATATAGTGAAAATACATTAATTCTTTGACAATCTTTTCCTTTGCTCCTTGGTGTTATGCTAATGATCCAGGTATATTTATTTAGGATGAAGGAAGGAGCATCTAGCAAAATGGTTAATTTCATACCCTGGGTCGGGGGGGGGGGGTACATAGTCTGAAAAATAAATTAATGCTTTGAAATCTGCTCTTAGGTATTAATCAACCGTTTATGATGAAGTAAAATTAGGATAAAATTTCCAAAATTTTGAAATATGTAGCTCCAGGGTCAGTGTTTTTTGGGGTGGGTGCATAACGGGTTACAAAATGGAAGTGCATTTTCTCTTTTTTACTCTAATCTACCTCTGGGTCGTAAGTAAATAGAGTTACAAGCATGCTAAGTTTATAATTATGATAAGCAATTGTGCCTCTTTCAAAATTGTGAATTTCATGCCCTCTGGTTTAAAACTGAACCAAATTCGATTGTTGGAAAGTTGTTACATGATACTCAGGTGATCTATAAGGCCCGTGGGCCTTTTGTTTAATATTACAGCAGATCTCAGGGCTAACATACCCTTGACAACACACGAAAAAAATTGGAACAATGAGTATATAGATTTTGCTAAGTTATTGCATTAGATCCAGCTGCTGAAATTTTATTTTGATTATGAAATTCAGTTTAGGCTTAGGCGTTCAAAAAACAGTATGATTAGTTGGGAAAACATTGATGCAGAATAATGGTTGATTTACATCGAAATAAACTAGTGACCGCTATATAATTTTCTGGCAGCCGCAAGATTTTTCTAAAAGATATTTTTGTTATGGCGGCTGTCAGATATTTTAAGGGCAGGCGCTAGGAACTTACCGGTAAATGGCGGCTGTCAGAAAAAAAAAATATATAGCGGTCACTAGAAAATTATGTGGTGTCTGCCGGAAAAAAAGACATGGCGATCGCCAGATAAAATATTTTTTCTTACCTGACACTTACTTGCTTCCGTAATATTTAATAGGCAGAGCTAAAGAACGCTATTAAACATTTTATATTAAGACGCCAATGCTAATTTGCAGTCTTTAAAAAGGAGTAGGTCGTTATTCTAATCCCTTAATCCATTTATATGCGGTTAACGTTGAGAAATTTGTCAAAAGTGTGATATAGATCAAAACGAAATCTGTATCTTTATTGAAGGTAAATAGAATCACACCGTGTTTATTAATTTTATAGTGTATAAAAATGATTAAATATCGGATACATGGAGAGTTTGATTAAAGCAAAGTGTGAATTCTAATTGACTTGACGGAGTCAAGTCAAATCCTAGGTAGAATATGTATGCATAAAAGATTATAATAATCTAAAAGCCTGCAGCGGGTGAAATGGCAGTTGAATACATTTAATGTGATCAAATTGCTTACTCACTTTCAATTTTATAAAATATTTATCTAAACGATCTTTTGGTCTCCTTCATTTACGTCCGAAATCATTTTTTTATTTTCAAATCACATCTTATCTTTTCCCACTAAGAAGTTTTCCTGGATAATTATTCAGGAAGTAAAATTTCAGCGAAAAATTATAAAAATAGTTTAAGAGTTCCGGAAGTTATTTGAAAGAATGCTATTAAATTGACATAATTCTACCAACGTCATGTAACCAAAACAGATGACAATTAGTCGATATGATCCTGTGTCATTTGATTCGATAGGATGAATTCACACAGATAATTCAAAAGAAAAGAATTGGGGGCATAAAGTTTGAGAAAAATACCCCCATCTTGTGCATCCGGGATCAGTGTCAAATGATTCTCTTTAAAGAAATTAAAATCTTCATCATTTAGGACATCAGCAATTTTTTTCCAATTATAATGAAAGCATTAGTTAAAATGAAAAAAGAAACCTTAGAATCGTTTAAAAAGATTAAATGGGTACCCTATTAATGTTCATGTTCAATTTTTCGAAAATCTAGCTTTATTGCAGCTTTAATAGAACTTGAATTATTTCCAGTCAATCTTCTTTTCAAAGAAAAATTATGCTGTCAGCATACTAGTCATAGGAAAATATGATACAAGGATATGCACTTTGAGAATGAGACAAAAAAGGAGAAAGAAACGAATGACTTGTTTATTTGTGTGGTAGAATTCCTGTGGCCCTTTTCACTTTCTCACGACTGAGATAAAAATTTGATCAATGTTTTTTTTTTAAATATTTTTTTCCTAATTTAATAACTAAAATGTAATCCGATGTTAAAGAAAAATAAAAATAGTCGTAATATTTTAATGAAATGGATCATTTCGTTTTTGCATGTATAACAGGAGTAATTTGAAACAATGAAATTGGTCATAACCGGTTATTATAGCAAAAAATATTGATAAATTGATGTTTATAACTTTATATATTTTTTATAAACTAATATTGAATTAGATTTTTTACACCTGTTTCTTATCCTTTACTTATTCCGACCATCGGAGTCTTTTAGGTATATTTCTAACATCATAACAAGGTGATAAAAAAAAAAATGAAATTTACTTTCTTCTTACACTGATATTCAACATTGTTATTTGAAGTATTAGAAGAATCTATATTTTGTAGCTATTTATCTCTCCATGGGTTTGTTACATTCTGCATTATAATAGAAAAAGAAATGTTTCAAATTTAGTTTTACCCAAAAAGTCAATTTCTGCATTCTTATGCAAAGGGACATTGTATGGTAAATAGATATAGCGTGATTCCAGGCAATATATTTTTCATTACTACAATATCTTTAATTGCAGGTGCGCTCAGAGCAACAGCGAAACATTAAGTTAATACTTCAAAAATCCCATTTGTATCGGCATGTTGCGTTTCTTATTTACATGAATACGAGATCATTCTTATTTCTTTGTCAGGTCTTGAATTGAGTCCAGCGTTAATGATTCTATGTTTTGCTTCGAACAATTAAGCTGAGAAAAATTATTGCAGGAATGAGTTTGCAATTTTGTTTGAGATCGTCTACAATTTCATTAGATTGTTGTTTTAAATGTCTTTTTGTATTTTAGATTTTTTAAAGGCCTGTCGTTCGTTGACTCTGTGTTATTACCATTACAAACATTACTACACCTCTGAGGACACTACATCTTGTATTATATTCATTTTATCTGTCTCGTCTGTGTGGGTACAGTGTTGGAAGAGCTTATAATTTAAAAAAAAACATAGGAATATATTCTTTACTGAGAAAAAAATGTTATTCATCTATGAAGTTTGATTTAAAAAAAACTTTCAGGTTTCATGTACATGTAGTTTTCTACCTGACAGTTAAAGCTTCCATTTTCACTTTATAATTATTGTCTAAAAGAATATCTCAAAACTTTATTGAATGGGCTGAAGAAAGAACAAGTAATACCTGTTTTTATGAAGAATAACCTACTGTTTACCAGCAAACAAGCTAAATAAGGAATAAAGAAAATGAAAGTTTATTTATGAAGCTTTGTCGTCTAAGTCAGTGAAAAGAGAGAAAGGTAAGAGGTCCAGGAAGTTTGTTCGTGCTACACTGAGCAATATTTAATTATCTTTTGCATATGTACATATTCCTGTGCAACTTTTAATTTTGATGGATCACGCGATATTCATTTTCAATTAAATCTGAAATAGGAAGTGACAATATTTTGTTATCTCCATGGAAACCAGCCTGTCGGCTGCAGCATGGCCCGTCTGCTGATGATCATATTGATGAGAAATCAACACGCATGATCAAGATCATTGACAAGGGCGTTGTCGTAAACACTCGGGTGATAATGGTTTCTAGGTTTGTATTTTGAAAAAAAAAGTGAATAATAAAATAATATCCCCCGACAAAAAATGCGATGATCTCTTATTTACTTGTAGTTATAGTGAATTTGCTTTATTTCACAATTTTTTGTTCTCTTTGTGGGATGTTGTAAATAAAGTATAAATGCATATTACTTATTACAGAAATGTAATTCTAACTTTGTGAAAGTAAATGTGTTTTGCTTAAAAATAAACCCAACAAATTCATTTAATCTATTCAATTCTGTTCATTGTAAAACAGGACTAAGGATGTTTAAGGGGAACGAAAGCAATAAGGAAAAGGAAAACATATTAAGCACTCATTTAGCGATAAATTACCTCACCAATTTAGCTTAAAAATATATACATGTAGTATTAGAATTCTTTCAGTGTGGCACTGGATTCGACCATTCTTCACTCTCAAGTAAAAATGTCATCCGGGCAGATTAATTAATCCTACGGCGGATCATTATTTTGCATAATAATTTTAACAATTTTAATGTCACGCCCAAGAACCGAACATACACCATAGAATAAAATTGAAATAAAATTTTAAATCTATCGTGTTAATAGTGGTCAGAGAAAGATCAGTGACCATGTTTCTAGACCACTGATAGTAACTATGGTTGCTAGCCATTTTTCTGCCTTCGATTCCCAGGATTTGAATGGATCAAGAATGAGGCATGTTTCACAAAAGATAGGAACCTACGTAAATCTCACAAACAAGATAAATAGAAGGCGTCCGTCATTAGAGTAAGGGAAATCAGGAAATTCAAAATTGAATACTTTACCCAGAGTATTACTGTACTCTAATAACAAACACATGAGAAATAAAATATTGGTTAATTTAATCACCATATACTTTGGGCATAAAACAAACGGCGTTAAATACCGTTGGTTATGATAACAAAGCTTAGGAGGAATTAAAATTCCGACAGGGCGAAAAATAAAAGCGATTGCAGCAGAGTAATCAAAATATACTCAATAACTACAATTATATAATAATTTAAAAATTCAGTTGTCAAAGTTAAAATGCATATCCACGTGATATGAAAAACGAAATGCACTAAGCACATGTTTCCCTGGCAGCTAAAACAATCCGTTCAGCACGTTTAGCAACAGCTGGATCGAGGGGAGGCAACTTCATCACTCCAATTGATCTTCCGGTATTGCGCACTCCATTACCCATTGCGTTAAGTGGAATATCCTGTCGCCCGTGACTTCTTCTCGATGCTGGTCTCTGCTGAGATACACCATAGGGGTAAGGATTTGATTGAGATGCTTGAAGAGACGAAGGGGCAGGTTGAAAGCCAGCATTTTGTGCGGCCTGTAAAGGATTTGTGTCTATAGAGATAACTTTTTTTGAGGTCTTAGCCTGTTGTATTAGAGGTTTTTCAGACGTGGGCCTCACGTTGTTGTTATGAGTTTGTAGCATTCGCGCTTCTGTTCTTTGGCGGACTAGAAACACATTTTCAGAAGCAGGCCTCTTTGCCTTTGAGTGACGAAACTGCTGACGACGATGGCGGAGACGAGTTGACGTTGTCGTGAATTCGTCTCTCGCCTCGTCACTTGAGTAGGTTTGTGCAGTTGAGATATCGTGTATAGTTTTTTGTCTCTCTAGTGTTTGAGGTATCACTTCGTTAGCTTGAGTGGTATCACAGAATCCCTTAATTCGAGATTTAGGTCTTGGATTGCCATTCCCAAAGTTTCCTGATGATCTAGTGTGAGCATATTTGTCATAGTTAGTTTCATCAATAAGATCTCCGCGAGGAGATGTTGGTGGGGCCTGAATGTTGCAAGCAGTTTCTTGAAGTATGCTACTTCGATGAACATACCCCCTATTTCCGAGTCTCGAATGTGGTCGAGTTGATCGACAGCGTCTTTGGGCACTAGTGTCGACAAAATCGTCTTCTTTATTTTCATCTGTCGAATCTTCACTAACATTTGTTCTACGACGAACATAGCTAGATTTTGGACGGTTTATTCTTGTGTTTGGTCTTTCCTCCATTGCAATATCTTCTTCGTCAGAACTATAATTAGAGTTTCCTATTTGTTCAGTGTCGTTATAAAATCCCATAGAAGTTTTCGATCTTGCACCTCTTTGTTTATGGAGGGCAAATCGAGCCACCAGTCTCTGTTCTGTTTCCTTAACAGAGCTGTCACTTAAACTATCGTCCGAGTCCTCACTGTTTAGATCACAGTCGTGAAATCTCAAATTCAGATCCTCTTGATCTTTTAACAGTCTAAGAATCTGATCTGCTTTTGACTGACAGTAAGTGTCGTTAATTCGAGATAAAAATTCGTCGACTTTGGAGTTTTTCTGAACAGGAGGTTTTGTCGAGTCGTTCTCTTCACTCTCGCTCCATAATGTATGGGTTGAATCGGCCATTATTCACATGATTTGGTTCTGGAAGAAAGAAAACTTTTGTATATTACGTCATCCTGGTCGGTTTTTTACACTCAAAACAATGAAGAACAGACAATTGGTTCCTATCCTAACAAAAGTCTGGACTTTTTTGTGGTCTCCATAAAGAAAACGAAAATTATTACTTCTAGCACATGTGTTCTCTAGAAAACAAAGAACTCATTCGAAGGTACTAATTTAGTAAAGGATCACCAAGTGATTTAAATTCTATCCTGTAAGAAAAATGTATTGTCTTCTGCCAAAGATTTGGAAATATTAGTGCGGCGAATAAAAAAAGTTAAAACCCTCTTGGTGGATTTTCTTTTCGAAATAATGGAAGCTTTTTCAACCCATTCGAAGGTTTTTAAATAGGGATAATTCTTTTTGTTAATTATTTTCATTTCAAAATGTAAAACTTTCTACTATGTTGGGTTTTAAAAATCAAAATTCCTCCATAATCATACATTATGTTATGTCTTATATCACAAATTGTACTTTTACCTGCATTTACTTAGAAACTCTGATCACCGACCAAATAATAAGTGATAATAATATAATAAAATTTAAAAAAAAAGAAATGAAATTTACTTACTTCTTACACTGATATTCCACATTGTTATTTGAAGTCAACATTTATTAATTATTTTTACTAGGTTCTCCATTATCCAAATAAGTCCCTGCTCAACTTTACAGTTTAGTATTTAAGGTGAAGTGTAATCTGTAGATTTAACAAAATTTACAGGATCTTCTCGTGTATGCAGGATCAAGTATAAACATGGCTTTGTAAGAGAAATAATGTGTTGTCATGGGTGGTAAGCCTAGAATAGATTATCGATCTCGTATCAGGCACGCATATTAAAGTTCGAACTTTATCAAGAAAAGGGGCCTCATTATTTAGCGCTTTTTAAATTTTTAGGCTTTGTTTACATTTTATTAGTAAATCAATTAATAAGGCTTCTGTACTGGTTCTGAGAATGGATTTTTTATAATAGTTCTTATTATTTTTTTTATGTTAAACAATTGTTTATATTGTTAATTTTTTATATTAATAAATTATATTGTCAAGTATACTTTTAATTTATATGAGGGTAATTTATTTTCATAAAATCCTACCGTCGTCTCGTCTTTCAATGTATGTTTTAGATGTTACATTAGAAAAGGACTCAGAGTTTGTATTTATTTGTCACTGATCATGTGATATCTGAGCCGGAAATAAACTATACTGCATTTATAAATATAAATGTTCCGGAAGTATATATATTTTATACAAAACTGCATAAATTTTGCCCGCAACCTTCAATTTTTTGGAATTTTTTTTTCTATGATGAAAAATTTATGTCGGATTTTGGTTGTTTTTTTTTTTTCATAAAATTTAGAAATTCAACAGTTAACATTATCCTACCTTCTCATTTGCTATTTTCAAGAGAATGGTACATTTTAAGTTTTATTTTTAGTTCTTATAATCTGCAATAAATTACTTTCAATATCGGTAAAAAGAAATATCTATTTTTCATTTAGAATTCGAATGCTTTATTCTTCATCAATTGCATTATATGGTATTGATTAATCAATCGACCTTGCATCATTGTATAATACAAGTTCTTTTTTCAGTTCTGCGTAAGACGTCAGCCGCAAGACAAAAACCTCAGCAGTAAGTTGCAGTGACGAAGCAAAAAATTAATACAGATCAATTGCACCCAAATAAATGTGGGTTTTAATAATATATATAGGTCTACAACGAAATTAACACGCTATGACGCAATGAACAATTCTTCATTAAGCTTGATTACAAGTACCTTGTTAAAATTACTAGTGACTATTATAGTTATTTTTTAGTCTAGATTCGTTGAGATTATTTGTTATTCTGCGCAAAACTGGTTGAAAGCGCAACAAAATGGTATTGAATATCGTTCATTTCAATGATAAGGATGGTATAAGAGTTAATGATTCAAATTATTTTACTGATCTCAAATAAATTTTTATAGATACCCTGACATAAATAACAAATCTTTGTTTTAATTTATCACATTTTGAACACCAGATGTTGCCTGTTAGTTCAATTGTGCGACACAAAGAAACCACTATTGTTAAAATACCACGTCCAAAGTTTCATAGCAAAAGGGCTTAGTAACAAGTATACTAATATTTGTATAATAGATTTTCTGTTGAAATAGAATCGAGTCGATAGAATTGCAAATTGATATCACATGTAATATAGATAAAAAATGTTACAATTCAGTTTCCATTCTTCTGTTTCTATGTAAATTAAGGAAAGGTGAGAGCGAGTGATTTAAATTTCATTTTGATGCCAAAAACTATTTAAAATTCATTTTTAGCCGTTATAAAATTCGGGAAACTACAAATTGTCTTTCATTTGTTGGAATATTTATTCTTGAGCAAATTGTTTTCAGTAGACATTGAGCATTTTAAAATTGAAAAAAAAATTACCTGAGAAAGCACTGTTAATAGTATGCAACATACATGTATCCCATTCCCTGCTTAGAAAGATTCACAATATCAAAAAGTTCAGCAAGTCAAATATAGTTGGTTCATAGATCACGGAACTAGAAATTCCTATCCCACCCATTGAATCAACAGTATCAATGACTCGAGAGAAAATAGCAGGAAATTAAAAATTGATGAAAGACAAAAATAGGAAAAACAAAACAACAGAAAAAACCATGATTTACCGTTTGCCGATGTCCAAATGATCCTACCGTATTCAAAATTATTTCCCATGAAAAGAAAACTTTAGCTATAAAAAGAATATGTCCAAACCATGCAAACAGTATTCCCAAGTTATAACCGAAGTGTGTGTCATTTAGCAAATGCCATACTTGGCCAAGGAATATATCGATTTTTATGTATTTTTGTTTAAGTCAACCGAGCACATATGCGTTTGAAATGCTGATAACATCAAAATTGTATTTTTAACTTAAATGTCTAAACGGGGGATCTTTTTTCAGAGTATCATTTGAAACATCTCAACAATGCCCTTTATTAATTAATCTCTAATTAATTCATCGGCCACCAAAACAAAACCTTTAAAGTTGAGTTATTTGAGTGCATGATCAAAACACAATGGATACAGCTTCTACACATCTAGACTATAGTATAGCACGCTTTATTGAAAAACAGAAACGTTTTGCATAGTTTATTTAAAATGCCCCTCGGAAAAATATTTAAAATCATTATCAATAAAGTAAACAAGAAGGTTTTTTTTCCAAAAAATGAAAACACATACTAAATTACATGTAATTCAATTTTCAATATTTGTTTTCTATCGCGTGGTGGTTTAAATGGAATAAAAAACGAAAAATAATTGCATAAAGTCCTTGTTTCAAAAACAAAAATCTTGAAGCACACCTCCCTCATGACGTCCCAACAACATGAATAAAAACAATGCTAAATTAATGAAAAAAGACCTCTTACCCATACCAAATTACATCTCGGTCTATATGATCTTGGAAACATAAAATTGGCCTTTGAGTTTAGGGTCATGACAAAATTCAGGCCAGAAACAACAGGGAAACGTTTAAACTCATTACATTCAAAGCGTCTTAAGTTGATATGCAAACACGATTGCACAATCTAGTTGCACTATTACCCGTAAGGTATCACACATCTGTGAGTGATTAGTAATATCATATTCAATTTCAAATTTGATAAATTTAACCTGCATTTCAAGAAAGGATTCCAAAGTAATAGCCTAAGCACCATAATTTCATTGTCGAAAAATCTTGGCTCTGATGTTTGACTTTTTAGATTTAATATTTCACAATTCTTTGCCAGGTTAGCTTGACCTTGAGTCAAGATTTTTAAATACTTTCACATCATGGGCAAGAAAGATGCATTATTTTAAACTTAAAAACCCTTACATTATAGGTATGGTCAGACATGATGATTGAACAACGAATGAAGAGATTTGCAAGAATCATTATCTTTCCTCTTACTAGGGAGATTTTACACGAAATGAACAAAGACTTTTAATGTACTGAAAGAAAATAAAAAATAAATTTTTTCTTCGGTATCAAAAATTGTGTTGCATGAACACAAGGTGACCCCTTATTTAATTTGAAAGTAAATTTTGTCGCGAGATTGTGATTCTGGCCTGTGATTAATTAACAACCTAAAAGATACCTAGTTCAAAAAGTGTATATTTTCAAAAATAGTATATAAATGTCAAATTTAGTTGAATCAAACACAATTCTCAAATTTACTTATTTCTCATCTTTGGATGCTTTAAGTTTTACACAACATCCATATAAGAATGTATGCTTTTACACAATACATATCTATAAAAGGTACTAGTAATTGAATGTATGTTGCTTTACGTTCCTCTCAAGATTTTTTTCACTTATATGTAGACGCCACCATTTGCCGGTGGAGACCTGCAAATTTTTTTCCTATACTTGGCACTTACTGCCATTTATAAGTGAGGGTTTTTTTTTCGAGCCAACACTTTCTGCGACACGGGACCTCGATTTATACGGTCTCATCCGAAGAACCTGTCTCCATGCCCCACAGTGGATTTACATCAGAGGTAAAAGAAAAAAATATCATCAAACATAGGTGTATGGATTGGCTATGGTGTTTGCGCTCAAACTGACAGGCTTTTGCTTATTCTTTTGAAGGAAATAGTTCCTGAAATACCAGCATTTGATGTAAACTGGCTAAGAAATTTCTTTAGCTCTCCAGAGGTTGTGTATAGGAATCCTCCTCCAAATTAACAAAACTCGTTATTACAGTTATTACAGATGACTTGATCAAAATATCACATTACTGCGGTGGAATTTTCATATTTCATTAATTAATCTATATTTTTGGATGTAATACAAATCCATCTGGTATATTTTCATGATATCTTATTCAAAGAATTTTCATTTATCGCACCCGCGGTGCGCAGCTAGTGAAAAGAGTGCCTACTCTCGAGTCGCGGATTAAGGAGTTGATCTTTACTTCGTGGGTTCGAATCCAATGCGGGACTTGGAGGCAAGTACTTCGGATTTGACCTTTAAACCGAGCTCCCCTATCCAGCAGGCATTGCAAAAAGGATTTCTCACTGCTCAATGGCCCCGAGTGCCGAGTATAGGAACAAATTTTGCCGTCTCCCTACTGACAAGTTGCAGTGTCTCTATATGAACGAATAATTCTCGAGAGGGACGTTAAACAAAAAAACTTATCATTAATCATTTAAACTTCCACACGGATCAAAAACTTTGATTCTTAACCAAAATAATACAAAAAATTGATCACCCTTACATCCTTTTTCAAATTTAGATTTTAATTTGTATATCACAACTCAATGGAACAAATTCTAAATTGGAAGGACAATTATCTCGTGCAAGGAATTTAAAGAACTGTGTCCTATGTTTATCAAATTATGAACAATGAGGACATCAAAATAAAACAATTTAAATGAAAGTTTAAAAATAGTTAAATTGTTTATTAAGATGGCGAATACTTAATTATCTATCCACATGTTGTCCATGTAAATTCTCCAAAAGAGTATAGTATATATTTTCTATATATTTATGATTTGCAAGATATATAACTGTATATATTCAGCGGCAGCTCACACATATTGGTCCGACCAAAATAACTCATGATGGATACAACATTATTGTTCAAGTTGTGTATGTCATACATTAAAGAAATCAAAAATAACGTCAAAATATCATTAGAAAGTCACTTCCCCCCCGAAATGCAAATAAAAAATATCAATATTCCTACGCTCGCTCCCTCCTCAGCCTTTTTTTTTTACGTGTTTGATAACAGAGAATAATTTAAAGAACCAATGAATTGATAATACTATATCAACAATTGTATTGTACATGTTTATATCAAATTATAAAGAAAAAAATAATCATTCTGTGTGTGTGTATTATTAAAAGACATCCCTGGCCTGCTCGTGTGTACACTTTGTAAACTGTAGGGTATGTGTGGTTCATTTCGTGTTGAAGTTCAGCATTTATATATAGAACTTGAATAATGTAAGTAATTTCTGCGACAAATATATTAGTATATTTCAGTTATTTTCAAAACAAAAAAGGTTTTCCATGTTTTCAGTTTAGAATTAAATTCGACCCGGTCCTGATTTTCCCAACCCGGCCATTTTAAACACAAGTTGTTGCAGATGCAAATGTTAAAACAAACTATATAAAGTTCAACAGGGATTGTATAATTTTTATTAATCAGAATTCGTATTTATATGATCTAATTAAGAAAAGAAAAGTTTTGTTTGACACCGTAACTTTCGGCAAAACAAAACGTGTTTCTCCGAGCTCGCTGGATGCGTGTGACAGCTATTGCACGTGTGTAGACCAAGGCTACAGGTACATGTAGGCCTATGTGTACTGTTTGTTTGTCCGTAATGTAAATTATTTACAACAGTTCCATAATTAGAGTGCAGTTTTTTTTATTAACGTATATATAAACATTTAAATTAACAGTCGAATATCTTTGGATATTCTAATTTTAATTCTAAAATTTTTTTTTATGTTTGTTGTTGAGTAAAACATTCAAAACGTGTTGAAATTGAGTTCCGCTGGAAGAAATTCTGAGGATCCAAAGAGTTATAAAAAATCTTCAAGATAACACAACGTCACGAAATTTACACAACGTTGTACAACAGTAAATTTGTTACTGACAACTTCAAAGACACAGAAGAAATGGGTTTGAAGTCCTCCTGATATGCCCTATTGTTAAAAAGCAGTGTGGGGCTTTTAAAAGAACAAGTTTTTCCTTTGAAGTCAGGGGTGACTCTTTAAATCTGTAAATATTTTTCAACTGCGGTTAAATAAAAAGAACGCCCCTTTCGTTGGAACTGATTATGAACCTTAGAATCATTACAACCATCTCTCTTGCTGTTGTAAATTATGCAATACCGCGGTATAAAGGAAAACATAATAACTCAATATAATTGATTCATAAGTCAATACTAGCTAAATATCGCTTAGTTCTATGGTCTGAAATTTGTTATACTCCCTGAAGTGTTAGATACATATTTGCACATTTGACGGTAATTCGGTCACTGTTAGCCCAAGCTTCGACGTTCCAGGTCGTCAAACTAAATATCACTGGTGCCATGTTGACCAAGTCCAATTTGAATGAGTATTTAACTTTAATATAGCGATTGCTTGCGAACTTATTGAGCGTAATATTCGGCGTCAATATTAGTGCAAGAGTCTTCTTTAAGAATGCTTTAGATTTTTAAAAATCTAATTTTTAAGGAAAACATTTTCTAACGTGTGTATGAAAAATATATATTAACTGAAGTTCCTCGGACAACACGTTCAGAAACAATGGTAAATCTTATCGTACCCTGAACTTTTAGAAATGGATCATCATCGATTTATAGAAAAAAAATGTCCCGAGGTTTTTCAATTGATCTTATTTATTTTCCCCTCTCGTCCTTTTCATTAAAAAGTATATCAAATTGACGGATATTTATTGACACTACATGGTATCCGGTGTCTTTATGCAAACAATGTATATGTCAATGAATTCAATTGACCCCAATTTTAGAAGTTAACGGTCATTTCTGGGCAATTTTCCAACGGACCGGACATTATTTAAAATTGAGGAATTTACCTACAGTTTTTCTATAAGAAAAACTTGGAAATTATGAATAAAGATCAGTGCAAACTATTTTTCATGTCATTTTCTTTTTATAAATTAAAATATATAGTAATTTACATGCAAAGTATACGTAAGATTAATTCATTTTTTATAGTAATATTTTTTCATGAATTGTTGAATAAATATTGTTTCATGATTTGTTGAATAAAAATTTGGACAGTAAACAAAACAAATCTGAAGAACTCCTTAAAGTGCACGTAAACCCATATTATTAAAAAGATAATGTAATAAATGGGGGAAATAACTCCGATCTACCTGGAATTTTGCCAAAGCATAGTGAGCAGAGATATTGTATTTAAATAATGGACACTCCTTTCTGAAAGTTTTATCTTTCAGTCAAAGTAAGATTAATGTTGCCTTGACGCCATTTTAACAGAATATGACGATTCAACAATACTGACTTCAATATGATTCTAATTCCATTTATCCAATATTTATTTTTCAATTATCCGGTAATATTTTTTTTATTTATATTACTTATAACATTAAACGCACCTCTCCCATTGAAAATTAAATTCAATTTAAGTAACTGCAATAATTTTGCGCAATATCATTAATATACTTTTGAAATAAAATGATTTTTTTTTGGTCTTCTTCGCTCTTTTCCCTAGTTTCCCTTAACGACAGATTAAGCAGATACCATACAGTCTGTTAGTACATTGTTGGATGGTTTTATTATTTTTCGTCGGATGAAGTAATTTTTGCCATTTTTAAAGACGATGCAACAATAGGTTGATTGAAACTTTTAAAGAATGATATACATACATTTGGCATATCGTTTTAATTAATAGTATACCTTCGATATTTTATGATAGAATAACACATTTTAAATATAGATGTTGATTTTTGTAAGATTCTTCTCAAAATAAAAACATGATAAAAGGAATTATTTTTAATAGAAATTAATAATTTGAAAAATAAGATTTTTTACCTGTTGTTTCACTTCTCATACCGCTGATAAAAGTCGCCATTTTCATTTTTTTTCTTTTGCGCTTGGTTTAGATGTAAGTGTGGCCTTTCATCTGGGAAGTTTTCGTGTTCTATTGACACAAGGTAAACGCGCTGTGATATTTGACAACGATTGGTTCAAAGAATTATAAACCCCCTGTAATACAAACAGGCTGTATGTGTAAACGACCCTTCTTGTTATGATATTTTATATTGCCAATACTCGGATCAACATTTTCCAAATGCCAAGTAATACAGGCGAATGCGATTAGCAATTTTACAAGACTGACAGTCAAATTGGATGTACGGTCATGATCTTAAGTATTAAAATGTTTTATATTAAAGTATTGAACACATGGTATATATCTGCAATTTAAAGCGAGCTTATATTTCAGAGAGTGACATTTATCAGAAAAGAATCTATACGCACTTATACACACACACATTATACTAAGGTTGATTGACGCTTTTTCGAAACTTAATCTCATAAAACATGTCCACATTTTTCAGGTATACATTTAACAAAAATGTTCATTATCTCTAAGGAATTTGACAAGTTTTTGCAGTTTGGTTTAAAGTAACATGCATAAATTACGTCTTAAGAAGGCAATCTGAAGCAGATAGCATAATTATCTTCTGTATAAAAAGTGTGGGATACTTTAACAGTTAATGATTAAACGTCATATTCATTGAAAATTATTTTTGAATTATCTAATATAAGAGGTATTCCGAATGAGACTTTTTCGAAATTTTGGACTCTTTCTAGTTTTTCTTCCGATGGATTCAGAGAAATTTTAAGAGGTTGTTTCTAGATCCACCCAACGTCCATCTATCATAGCTGGTAAATGGTATCACAGGAAAGGAACCATTTTCTATGGTGGCGCAACATCATTATGTAGACATGCAACATATTTATATCAACATTATTTTCATTGTAGAGTTCTCCTCTATAAAATGTAGGTCTACATGCACTTGCTTGATTATAATCATCAATCATTTATGCATATTGGTCACCCCATTAGCTTGTGATGCCAGATCTATGAATATATTTATTTGAATGCAATGCTTTTTATCCAAAGAAAGACAACTCTACCTTTAAACTAGTGATAATTGTAACGGGGACCGTTACAGATGTTCCCCAAACGCTCCCCAACTCCCTTTTCGTGCCATATTCCCTGTAAGCTTCATTAAATGACAAACTCTATGCATTTGAGACCCAGAAGTGTACCAAGTTCATTCAAATTTTAGCATTGCACGCATGCGCATGTGAATGCGTGTGCGTATTGACCATATCATCTTGTTTACACAAGCTATATATTTGAATATACTAAATATTAAGAGTATTTAATCCAAAAGTATTAAAAAATACGCTCATTCTAGTGTATTTTTGAATTTACTCATTTCACGTGCACGCACGTGCATACATGAGCATTGGTGACCATTGCTTATTGTAGAAGTCCATTATATCTATTTATGTTCTAAATCCCACCCCGTTTGGTTGAAAACCAGGGGAGTTATAGCTGTTTAAAGTTTCAGCCAATCAGATTGCAGCACACGTTTACGCACGGGTGTGCATGTGCATGGTGACAATACTCATTTCACGTGCACGCACGTGCATACATGAGCGTGGTGACCATACCTTCTTGTAGAAGTCCATTACATTTATCTATGTTCTAAATCCCACCCCGTTTGGTTGAAAACCAGGGGAGTTATAGCTGTTTAAAGTTTCAGCCAATCAGATTGCATCACACGTTTACGCACGGGTGTGCATGTGCATGGTGACAATACCTTCTTGTAGAAATCCATTATATCTATCTATGTTCCAAATCCCATCCTGTTTGGTTGAAAACCAAGGGAGTTATAGCTATTTAAAGTTTAAGCCAACCAGATTGCAGCGCACGTGCATGCACGTGTTTTCATGATAATTGCTATATATCATGTTGTAGGATATCCCAATGCATGGTTATGTTCAAAATTTCAGAGGATTTCGTCAAAAAACAAGGAAGATATTGAGACTTTAGTTTCAGCCAATCAGAGCGAAGCGCACGTGCATGCGCGTGAGATCTTGCTATTTTGACCATGTCATATTGTCTATGCTACTAATATATCCTTATATTATGAGTTTCAAAGCATTTCATCCAATATTTAAAAAGTTACGGCTAAATCTACTATATTGGTCATTTCACGTGTTACGCGTGCGCGCACATGCACGCACGTGCGTGCAAAATGACCTTCGTTCCGCACATCTACATAACATACCTAGTGACCCTAAAAAGGTTTCACCTAGATCGGATGAGTAGTTTACGAGAACACTCGCGGACAAAAAAGTACCGGAGAACAAAGAAAAAATTCAGAAAAAGTAAAAACAATATGTTCCCCAACTTCGTTTGGGGAACATAATAATGTTAACCTAGAATGATTTGACGAAAAAAGAAAGTAAATTTATTTTTCTACTGAATATGTCATTAAAAAATACTAAAATCATCAAAATAAGGGGGAAAATTCAAGAAAAAACAGACTAAAAAAGAACAGCTTTCAAACAAAACCTACATAGGTTATAGAAAGAAGTCTTTGAAATGGCCAGGGAACCAAGATCCCAGATCAGCTGCAGGATTCAGTGGCCTTCCATACAAACAAAACTACAGCGTGTATTCTGAAAGCTTTTTAAAGTGATATGGAAAAAGAAAACATCCAAGAACTGAAAAAAGAGAAGGTGATGGTTGGAAAAAAAAGAAAGAGTTCACTCTACCAATTTAGAACCACATATATTTCCTAAGTCTAGAGACTTAACGGTAGTCAGTCGGTAGAGCGCTCGCAGAAAGTCAAAAACCCGGCCGCGTGGGGACCTTATTGTCGATTAGTATGGGTACAACTGTTCCTTCGTCAAGCGCTCGGAACTTGAAGTGATTGATTGAATGTATGTTGCTTTAAGTCCCATTTTTCACTCATGTAGAGAAGTCACCATACCGGTGAAGGGCTTCAAATTTTGACCTTTATTCGGCACTCGGGGTCATTGAGCAGTGAGGGGTCTTTATCGTGCCAACGCCTGTCGTGACATGGAGATTCGGTTTTTAAAGTCTCATCTGAAGAACCCGGAACTTTCGCTTCAAGTGTCGAGCGCATGGCAAAGGAACAGTTGCTACCCATTTTTTATCGACTGAGGTTAGTCGCGGCCGAGATTCGACCTCAAGTCCTCCCGATAACGCTCTACCGACTGAGCCACCGTGAACGGTGTATCAAAGTGAGTGTTGTCTGTTTTTACTTATAAGATCTTAAACCCGAGGCCCCGAGTCATGAAAGGCGTTGCCATGATAAGGATCCCTCACTGCTTGCTGACCATGAATGAGGAGCAAATATCTCAATTTGGAAACGGTCACCTTTACATGTTGACGTCTCCATATGAGTGAAAATACTCAAAGGGGACAGTTTTTGTTCGTAATTTTATGGAGATGCCACCACTTGCCGGTTGAGGGCTTCAAATTTATACCTAGTATACTCGTCACTTAGGGCCACTGAGCAGTGAGGGATCTTTACTGTGCTATCGCCTACTGCGATAGGGGAGCTCGGTGTATACGGTCTCATCCGAAGGACCTGTCTCCATGCTCCGCATTGGATTCAAGCCCGCGACGTAAAGATCAGCTATTGCTCAGGAAACTTCATAGAGATATATATCTTCGTCTCATTGAAAAGAAGAAGGCAAAGGGTAGTTAAAGAAATATACAGTAGTGTGACATGAATTAGTTCGTAAAATGGCTTCGTCGTTAAAGCTTTCGGTTCTCTCTTCAATTTTCAGTGATTTATTCCTGCGTTAATATTTGACATACGCTATCCAAGTATATCCGTAATAAATAATTCTTATTCCTTTTAACCGTATCTTATTCTATCTAGAGTTATTCCTTTTGGTAAACAATTTTATCATATGCCTTGAAACATGCCTTCAAACGGAAAAGAAATGACACCCGACTAGAAAGAAATCATCATTAATTTATCATCTGCGAGTAATTCAATTTAATAAGATTCAGAGTTTGATTTTTTAATTAATTGCCGAACAATACCGAATTTTTTTAAGAGGGCTCGAGACCGAGGGAATGCAGAAGAGATGCCGCGAAGTGGGGGTGTTAGAAAAACAACTGCACGGGACGACAGGGTGCTTCTTTGAAGTGTGAGACGGAATAATAGACAGACTCTGAAGGATCTAACGAGTAGATTTAATGAAAGAACACAATGCTAAGTATCTTCACGAATAGTAAGTCGAAGATTGTTTAAACATGGTTACAAACGTCACGCTATTTCCAAAACCATTACGATTTGCTTGGGTATAATGTGTGACAGGGAGACAACTTCCAAAGCATCAGTGATATTTTGGGGTTGTATTACATACTTTGAAGTTGGGACACTTGTTCCATTTGATGGTAATATGAATAAAAAAAGTATTTTTCCGTTTTTGTATATTTCCGGAAAGGCTCATTTTGGTTATAACGAGATAACGTTATACTTGTTATCTCGTTATAACGAGTTAGTAGCGTTATTACGAGTTAATTATCGCGTTATAACGAGAGTTATAACATTTTTCAAATTAGCCGTTATAACAGTGGATATTTCAATCTCGTTATGATATATCTCGTTATAACGAGTTAGCACCTGTTATTAAGTTAATTATCGCGTTATAACGAGTTAATATCTCGTTATAACCCTCGTTATTACAAATTACTTATCCGTTATAACTAGTTTTTTAGTTATTTTTATGATAACAAAAAAAAATGTTATTAGAGTTAATGTATAAATACCTCGTTATAAAATACGTTATAAAATTCCGTAATAACGAGTTAATTATATCGTTATAACGAGTTAGTTATCTCGTTATAATGCAAGTTATCTCGATATAACGAGTAGTTGTCTCTTTTTCTCGTTATAACGAATTTTATCTCGTTATAACGAGTTAATGAACCGTAATAACGTTTTAATTAACTCGTTATAACGAGTTAGTTATTAAAAAAGTTTTAAGTTGATAAATGTCACTTTAAAATTGATAAAAAGTTGCAATTTTAATTTGCGATATGGTTTAAAAGACACTAATTTTTCTGATATGTTTTGGATGACTTATTAGCTTTCATCACCAATGTCTTAGTACCTAAATTAATACATTATAATAGGAAGCTAACGCAGGCGTTAATGCAACATATATTATATACACTTATAGTGTGATATATATTATTTTGAGAGTCAGATATGTTTGAAGAAGGGGGATATGAAGAAATCAGCAATGAGGCCATGGGCGTAAAATTCGGAGGCTACTGCCCACTCATAACACAACATCAAGAGGCAGTCATAAG